CTGAACAAACTAATCCAAAACTCCATGTTGCAGAATTTGGTGGGTACTCATGATAGCCTCTGTCTTTCAGGACCTGAAAGTTACTGATTGGTGATGTTTCACAAATCACTTTCACAGACAAAATTTCAAAAGCATTTTCATTGGCAATAGGATCATTTGTGTTTTACATAAATGGCTCCAACTTACAGGAATAATTTGGCCACACACGCCAATAGGTTCATGTCTTGTAAATGTAAAAAAGTTTCCATCTAGGGGAAGAAGAAATAAATTAGATATTCAGACAAAGCATTTGTGAGAAACAGTTAAACCAAAAAGAAGATAAAGCTGGATACTAAACTTAGCTGGGTACTATTTTACATATAAATGATATTTTCAAAATCTTAACTGTGCAAAAAAGCAACCATAAAGTACATCTGGATTCAATATCTACTTTCTTCATAGCTCCAAGCTTTGATTCTGACAGTCTGACTGAATTTTTGCAGTGATAACCCTGCTTCTCAATATGATATGCACAACACCAATGAGAATTCCTCATTTCTTTTTTCTTTTATCACCTTTTTTTTTTTTTTGAATGTGGTCTTTTAAAAGTTCCTTGCAATCTTAGGTATATATCAGACATTTTTTAATATTAGATCTTAGTTTAAATCTAATCCATTAAGTATAAAATTCTCTTTGATTCGAATAAACATGTGTTCCATTAAGCCTAGTAGAGAGATCTATGTGATGCAAAAAAGTTGGAAGTATTTATCACTCTAGTTTTCCTTAATTCCTTCTTTATTACGATTTTTTTCTTTGTCCTTGTGAGAGAAGGCAGCTAGAAACAATGTTTTCATAGAGCTCCTTAATGGGAGAGAGAACAGAATGAAATTCCAGCACAATAAAGGAATGTTTCCTCATTCCTATCTCTTAGTTCTTCCCAATACATTATTCATTAACTGAAACAAATATTATTGTTTGTGCTAATCTTAGCTTTAATTAGCAGGTACTGATTTTCGTTACTCTACCACTGCATGAATTACACATTGCTAAGCAAAAGTAACCTACCAGATTTCTGAGATGTACATACAGGCTAAAATATTTTGGTCAATACACAGAACTTATTAGTGGTGCATAGAATAAGAACTATATGTGAATAGGTGCACTAAAGGTTTAAAACATGCACTATGATAAATCTTAAATAACCTATATTAAGAACCATCTAAAACATTTCCCTTTTGAGATACTTTTTCTGCTGCAGAACTTTTAGAAAAAGGCAACTTTTTACAGATCACATTTGCTTCAGTTCTGTATTTTTGTTATCTCAAAACTACTCACCCATTGGAACAGTACGCCCATGGATCTTATCAGCCCATCCTGCACAGTAGTGTAATGTTTTGATACAGGCACCTAAATCCATTAGGTAGGCAGTAGAAAAGAGTTTCCCACCATCAATGGCTTCCATAGTCTGCATATAACAGCAATTACAAAGTTAATACCAAATATTGATAATGATTATCATGCTTATATTTTGTCATTTAGCTCTTGCCTGTTCAGGTCAGGGGTTTTTGGCTTTAGTACAAACATTTAAAATGATTCCCCTCTGAAGGATGCTTAGCATTTGAAAAACCTGAGGTAGCAATTTACAAATCAGAAATTTTCATGGTGGTTTATTCACAGTGAACTATACAGGTAACATAGTGACGACACAATTGTAAAGATGAGATACTCTGAAAAAATTATAATGTTTCTCCCAGTCTGAATCAGTTACACTGTTCTAGTTTATACTAAATATTCTGCAAAAGTAGATTAGAAGATCACCTAGGAATCTGTGCAAATAACTGATGCAAATAAAATTAGTGACCTCCCTCAGCCTATTTGCACTGACACTCAAGGTAGGCAGTAGCTTCGTGCAAACAACTGTCACATTAACTTGGGATCCTGTGCTGTTTAATTATTAAGGAACTACTTTTTAGGAGCTTAATAAATGCATGATTAGCAGCTTATATGAGTAAGAAGACTCAAAGCACAGAATAAAGTACCCCAAATATACCTTGGGTGTTTAATGTGCAAAGGAAAGCTCTGAGTCATGAAGAACCCATCTGAGAAGAATTCACTACAAAAGATACTTATACAGAAGAGATGCTTTTATTGGCTAACTACTAACTGAGTGAACTAACTGGTCTTATTTGAAGCCAGGTCTGACGCTTCATACCATGAATCTCCATGCCAGACAGATATAAACCTTTTGAATAATAATCAGCAAATATTCATTCCACATCTATAACTTTTCAGCTGACCAATTCTGTTCAACTCACAGTGCTTTAAAGATCCCACAAATACAGCAGCACTGAATAGCATTGATTTCCAGCCAAATCTAGGGAGTGTGGTTTGGATCAATGACATTTCAACCCTAATTGTTGAGACATCTAGTTAAAGACCATGTGCATTTCTTAAATAGTGTCAACATCTTCTTGACACTATTAGAATTTTTTTCTGAAGTTTTCCTGCACAGAGACACTGGGGACCTTCAGCTTTGTGAACAATCCTATCAGAATACCTAATATGAAAACCCCAAACTCTAATTTCAAGATCTAATCAGATATTAGAAATATTCTTTCTTTTCTAAATTTGTTATTTTGTATGTCCAAGGTTCCTTAGTGTTTCAGGCTGAGTCTACAGACTGATCCTGCAAGCGTAATGTTTCACCAGCAACTCCCCTATGAAGTCTGCAGGTTTAGTTAAATGGACACATTTCAGGTATTATACTTAGGAAGAGAACAGAGCAAATGGAGAAGCTAGCAATGCTTGATGGCTTTCAGCAACAAGGAACTGATTAAATGAGCTATGTCCTCACCATTCTGGGCAATATATCCATCTTTGTGTTGTTCCGTTTGGACAAGGGAGAAAATTCTTCCCTGGCCTTAAACTTGTGAAATCTATAGCTTTGGAGATCTCAACAGACTGAAACCTAAGAGACAAAATTCAGTGTCTCTTTCAGTGCCCTGCTTTGACTTATTCTTTCAGTAGCCTACCTACGGGGCTGTTGAACTCCTGGAGCTTCATAAAGGTATCTCAGCATTATATAAAACACTGAAATAGAATAATTTTGATCCTGGCCAGAAGCACAAAGACAGGAAAATGCCTTTGCAATGAGTTTTGGGGGTCTATTTTGACCTCTAGTGTTTACAAGACTATTTGCTATTCTGTAGTACTATTTCTGCAGTTACGATAAACTGTGAGTGGAGAAAATCTCTCTTCATTTTGATGAAGTCTGAAAGGCACTTCATTCAAACACACCTTATCTAATAGGGAAAAGTAGTCAATAATGTGAATAAGGTGTAGGAAATAAAACCAAAACCAGTAAACCAGAAACTTGGGAGGTGCCCCAGAGAAAAACCATACTTTCATATTGTGAAAATGGCAGGTGGGAACAAAAACTAACTTTATATTTCAGCTTTCCTATGGAAGAAAGATTATTTCTCCATCCTCTTTTCATGTGTATGCCTTAGGCTGCACAATAAAGAAGCAAATGCCAGCTTATCCGGTATTTAACTGACAAGGGGGCGTACTTTTCCTATGAAAAATGTAAAACTCTCTTAAAATATTCTCTCTCTCAACTTCAATAAATCTAGCATAGTTATGGACACAAGTCTTAGCCACCCAAGATTTCTCCTGAGAAACTAGTTGATTATCAGTCCTTATCAAGGTGATAAGATTCATTTAGAGAAATAACTTGGTTGAAGAATAGTGTAAATTTGACAGTTGCAGACTCTGGAGTTCACGGAAGTCACCTCAGGTCCCTCAAATTTTCTTTTTTTTTTTTTAAAAAAAACCTGTTTGGGACATATGCAAGTGTCTTTCTATAGTGCAGCCATAAGGACAATAGAATCAGAAATAGATTCTTTACAGGTTTTATATATTTTGAAGGATTACATTTTATGATCTTATCAATGGTTAGCTAAACACTACCAGTTGTGACTAGATCTATCTGAGTGATGATCCTGAACGTGGGATGCCTCTCCTGCTCTCTTAAATTTTGACACTGTTGGCAAAAAAACAGGGTTCATCCTCAGGACAATGCAAACAATTATCCTGCCTAAATGTTAAATGCAAGAAGGTGCTTGGAATAGCAAAGAGATCATCTTAATTGTAGCATCATATGTGGTGTTTAAAACAAGAGGAGCGTACTACACTTTATCAAATTGGTGATGCATTTCTGTTTTAAATGTTCTTTCTTGCCTTAGTGCACAATTGGTAGGTGGTGGCGCTGCAATTTATGTGCTGCTGGTAGAAGTGGTAAAATGACAAATGCACAATAGTCAGTAAAGACAGGAAATCATTGCCCGCCTCCCATGTACTTCATACTAATAAGTAATTCACTGCTGCCTTTGGTTCTGGTTAAGGTTTTTCATTCACTGCCAGTTGCAAGCTGGAGTTAACGAAGCATCAGTGATAATAAAAATATATAGCCACGAAATTCAAAATTTCTACCAGTTCTGACTTGTATCATCTGCAAGCTGAGCCAGACTTCGAGCTTAGGCCTTGATTCAGGCCTTGGTTCAGGCAAGTGTTAAGCCCATGGTCTTTGTTAATGTCTTCTCAAGAATCAACAATTGAAATTACATCAATTGTGAGTGGCTTAAGCATCATCTTAAAGCTAATCTAATACTCAAGTACTCTGTGTATGTGGGGTGTTAATTGACCAGAGTGGCAGCCAGTTTAATGAGGTCCATTTGCAATACAGATGAATAACAAGTTCTGAGACAGCCTGACTTTTCAAAGATTTAGCATGTTGCGCTTGCTTATATCTTTCTTTAAAAATCAAGACATAGGCTTTTTTCATGATCTTTTTGTTCATGTATCATACTCACAGCCAAAATGAGCCGATCTCGTTCAACTAAGTCAGCTAGTCTATTCAAGAGTCTTCCTCGCTCTGAAGCATCCATTGTACGCCAGGGTGACCCAAGCTCAAAAGCTTTTCTAGCTGCTTTAACAGCCTTGTCCACATCTGCCTGTGGGGAAAACAGAGAAACATTTATCATCAATAATTGATTCTGTCATCAGCCTTGGTTGGTTTTTAAATGTGCAAGACGTTTTGCAAGATAAATCAGAGACACCCACTACAATCTAATCGGAATTAGTACAATAATTTTAAATATATGGTTTATTTTCTTTCAAATGCTTTTGCTATCGTTTCAGCAATGTGAAGTTGTATAAGAAACAGAAGAGTTCTCAAAGCTTCTAAAATAAAAATATACTAAGGAATTCTATTTGTAAAATTTAGATTTTCAAACTCTTTCCTTTCTAGTGTCTCTAACTGGGGATACACACACCAATTGCACAGCTCATACAATTTAATCTCTTTTATGTACAGAAATACTGAATACTTACGTACTTAGCATTATCTAAAAGTATCTGGCAGTGTGAAAAAGACCAGGTTAGTAAAATCTGTTCCTTAGAATTTTTCATAAAATTAACACAAATTTATTATTGCTGAAGACAAATCAATGTGTTTGTTTTTGAATGTTTTAAGGAACATTTCTATTTAAAATAATTTTACCAGTTGACTAATTAATGAGATTTAAAGCACTAAACCTTAATATTCTGAAGACTATGCATTGTCTTCGCATTAAGCCAGCTAATTTCTCAACCCACTAATGTTTTTTATAGCATAATTTATTATTTATCATTTGGCTTTTACTATAGCAGGAAAATCTACCATGAATTATATGAAGCTCTTTTCAGTGCAAGGGAGCTCAGGGATATAAAAAACTCATTTAAAAAATTTTTGATGGAAGACTTTTAGTACTTGGAAGTCTTCTATTATTTCACAATTCTCATAAAGATTTTCCTAGGAAAATAATGATATAAAAAGGAGTTTCATTCCATTTTTTTTGTTATAAATTAAAAACAAAGAAAAAAAAGGAGGACTCTATACATGGCATTTTTCCCTGTGCTATTTGCATGTAATGTTTAAAGGATTTCTTTCAAACTTTTTTTTTATACTGCTGGTTGCTAGAGCCTCCTCTGGGAAAATCACTATCCAGGTTGACTAAATCAGCAAAGTTGACTAAATCAGCAAAGTTGACTAAGTCAACACCAAAGTCAATTATTCTAGATGTGAACCAGATATTGAATCTTTAACTGATGTTGGTAGCCAACAACTGACTTTTATAAGCAGGCAGTGGCGTGCGTAAGTGACTTGGAAAGCCCAGCAAAGAGCTGCTAGGCAGAAGGCCCACAGAACTTCCCAAAGTTCTTTCCAGGAAGTCTGGGAAAAGATAGGAAGGACCTCTGCAGTTAGCACAGTCATTACTATACAGTAATATGGACCAGTGACTTACATTAGGTAGCTGAAATCTACCAGATTAAAAATAATTGCTTTTCTTCAAAATCTGTCGGAATGTCATCAAATAATTCATCACTTATCTGTGACCCAGAAAACTTCATTCAATTAATATTTAATTAATTTTATTTTTGTCTCATCACTATCATAAGTTTTCCACAGATTTGCAATATGACTTGGGGGTGTATGCCTTGGCCTTTACTGGAAAAGAACAAGCGGAAACCATAGGTCATACTTGTGTGAATGATGTAAATTAAAACTAGATACAGTGGTATGTGTTCAAAAGAACTACAAGTGCAGAAATAATTAAAACCGAGAAAAACTATATAAAGCTAATAGAGGGCTGTGAATGAAAAGTAAGAAAAAAATAGGTATGTTTTAAATAGGTAAATTTCAACTGTATGAAATTTAATTTGTGCTCATAAATCTACACCAGGAGTATGAAGACTGAAAACTCCTTTCAAAGCTAGTTTAGACTTTTTACAGAAGTACATTTACTTTATATCCCACTGACCATCAGTTGAGCTGCTTTATTATTCCTAGGGTCCTTTAGGATTAGTGAATGTAGCTTGAAAGAGCCTTCAAACTGAAAGGAAAACAGTTCCCATCCACATATGTGTCTGTGCTTTGTAATCTCCACTTGTTTTTTTTTTAAGTTCTGCAAGGCAGTGTACAGCCCTTTGTCAACCCTATTGTACACACAAATTAAATTCCTAAAATCTCTTGGCTCATTGTCTAAAGACTAGGCTCTAGAATATTAGGTTCACAATGACTGTGTAATTTACTAGATTTGTACATTTCACTTGGCAATTTAGTTAATAGCAGTTGTCATTACACATTAGTTTGCAAAATTATTGGAGAGAAAGTAAACCTATGTGTCGAACAGTATTATCTCTTTATTTAATGAGTTGTTAGATTGCTTGTAAGGAATGAAATCTACAAAAATTCTGAATGGTAAGTGAACAGCTGCAGGTCATGAGTAATTTAATTTGAGGATGATCAAATATCATGCCAACATGATCTGCAATGTAATTTAGTTTTTATACACTGAACAAAGAAGAGGTAGAAGAAGTAACATTTTACATCAAAAGCACGTATTGTTCTAGTGGAACATAATTCGGAAGTTAACTGTATGCTTATGAAATTCTTTGGCTGAGGACAAAAAGAGCCTGAAATAATCTGAGCACTATATACATGTAACTAGGCCTAAAGAAAAGGAAGAACAAAGGATTTGTGAAATTCATTATTATATATATGAAATTATTAATATTCAGACATTCTCAGCCATTTTTGTCTAACAGAAAGCTGAAAATATGTCTTCACTATGACCTTAATAATATGGGGTCACTATTGCTTATATGCTAGACAGATAGCATTTGAACCAAAGTTTATTAGGAAACTTGTGATGAAATTACAGAACAGAGTAACTAAGTTTCAGTGAGTACAGCATGTTGAATGAACTGGGTTTCTATGTATTTCTCAAAAGAGAATTTAATTTCAAAATGGATCTATGTACAATAAATTAAAATATTCTGAAAGAGATTGTGCTTATTATATTGACAGTAAATCTTTGGTGAACTTACAACACAGTTAAATGGCTTATAAGTTCTATAGTAGTTCTCATGGATAAAAAGTTATTTAATGTATATTTTGCTGCTATGTTTAAAATGCGCTTGTTATACAAATCATTCTAGATATGCATATTCCTTGACAAAAATGAACATCAGATATTATTTTGTAACAAATGTGTGAAAATTTTCTCACTTTTGGACGTTAATATTTGACTTTTAAGCAGAAAGTGTAGAAAACAAAAATAAATATTTGCAAGAATCAAACCAGTAGTTATAAAAACCAATTTTATTTCCAGTCACAGTCATATACAAAATCTTCAAACTGGAAATAGAACATTAACTTCTCATAATTACTTTCTCAGAGTTTATTAAAAAAATTTCATTGGTCATCGGTTTTAAAACTGTTTAAGAAACATTGTCCATTTTATTTGAAAATGACTTCCCCTACTTGATAACTTACACCTAAACTACACGGTAGCACTAAGCAAATCCTTCTCAGTAGAAAAATACATCATAGAACATAAATACAGAGTTGCTTATTTGAGGGCTTAGATTGTCATTATATCTTTGATTACACGTCATCTATGTGTACTTTTCCACTAAGAAAGCTCATAAATACAAAAAAAAAAAAGTTTGTTTACACCTGTCAACAATCTTTTTAGTCCTCTGCTTAAATTCATCATTTCAGCATTCTTAAGGAAATCAATTTTGGTGGTATTAGTGTCTATTTGATAGGTTACCTTCATCTTCAGAGTCTTTTTTAGGACTATGTTCCAATAAATTTTTCACAAAAACAAATACTTGAAGGAGGCAGTACTGAGAAGACATATTCATAGCTAAAAGTGCTAATGGTAATGATCATCTTTGCAGAGTGTGTGAGGGAGAATATCAGTACTTATCCACTTCATGTTATCTAATTAAAAGGGTTGTATAAATGTATAATGAACAGATTACATTGCTGTCTAAGGAAGAGCCAGGAAAAAATAATTTAAAAATACAATTAAACTATTAGATGTCGCTGATCAAACTTAACAAAAAAATTATTATTAACAAAAAAAAAAAAAAAGAAAAAACATTTCTTTAGAACTTTCCTCATATGAACAAGATCCTAAGAGTAACGGTTTTTGGTGTCTGTTTACAAAAAATGTTGAAGTTTAGCGAAAAAGCTAAGAATTGTGTTTGCAGAAGGTATATAGGATGAAGCATGTACTTCTCTGAGCTGGGGATTTACATCAACATAGATGGACGCTTGCCTTCCTGCTTGTAAGACAAACAACTGAATTTAAAGCTAGGGTTAAGAGCAAGAAAGAAAACCCTACCTTGTCGCCTTCTTCAACCTCACAGATTTTCTCTTCATTTGCAGGGTTAAAGACTTCAAATTTTTTACCACTGACTGAATCATGCCACTCATTGTTTATAAATATCTGCAGAGGAAGAAACAGTGCAACAATATTAGTAACATATGTATAGCTTTTGTCTGTTACCTGTTTTAATGAATAAATCTACCTTTCATGACTGAGAGCTGCCTGATTGATAGGTACCTGAATTAAAAATGGAATAGCTGTTTCTACGTTATTCTGAAAAGACGAGTAAACACATATGTACTTAACCAGGAACAGCTTTTTAAAATCAGCATCCGTTGGAGAGGGAAACTTTCTTTCTCTACGCAATATTTTTACTTTGTTTCGTCTCATAAAAAGATACTGTTATAAAGGGGTCCTTCGTCTCTCAAAGAAGTCTGTGATGTACAAGGGAGGTACAGCCCTAAATAACCTACCTAAAACTACCTGGGTTTCCTATGCTTACAGGGTTGGTAGCAATGCAGGGCCTTTCTATTACATGTCCCAACAGAAGTAAACCCAATGCTTGGGATTAGTCTACATGGCACATGTACTGTCTTGGACAACAGTGTTTTATTTAACTTTGCTTTGATTTCTTTT